CAAATGAGGGAGTCAGGATTCGGACCCCGGCAGCGGGCTTGCACAGACTGGCTGCTTCCCCTCTGTGCCCTGCTCCTTCGTTTAGGAAGCTTATCTACCTGTTTTAATTACCTGTGCATTCCTCACAGTTGGTTTAAATTACACTTCTGTTTTTATTTCTTCCTAGCAAAATCTCTTTCGCATGATCTATTTCATGTCACACCGTATTAGGCCTTCTGTATCTTGATGAGTTATAGCTGGAAAGCAAACAGTGTTTAGTTTATCAGTGTGGAAATGATGTTAACAATAAAAAGACAAAAGCCCAAATACTTCTTTTTTTAAATATGTCTATATTGATTTCAGAGAGAGGAAGGGAGAGGGGGAGAGAGAAAGACATCAATGATGAGAGTCATTGATCGGCTGCCTCCTGCACGCCCCCTGCTGGGGATCGAGCCCACAACCCGGGCCTGTGCTCTGACCGGGAATCGAACCTCGACCTCCTGGATCCTAGGGCGACGCTCGACCGCTGAGCCACACCCAGCTGGGCCCAAATACTTCTTTCAATAACTCCTACTATTGAGAAAATAGACTGACCTCAGAAATTCCTAAAGATAGTAATATATCACTTTTATTTGGCCTTGTTGGGGAATGAAATGTTCTGCCTATGTGAGTTTTCCACATGACTTACCTTTTCAAATGCCAATTCTAAAAAAAAAAGTGCAATTTTTTCCCAGTATTTCTGAAATGGCCACTTTCCCTGGCTTCTTAAATAGAGAACAGCAAGTTCAAGTCTTTGCCTCATGACTCAGAATCGTCATGGCGATGCCTGTTTTACTGTTTTGTAACTTTCCTCTGTCCACTTTTTAGCTTTTCTCTTTCCTCGGTACCTTATCCTCAGCTGTCCCCCCACCCCATTTTGAGTAGATTTCCATCTAAAATACTTCTCCCCTTATACTGACCATGCTGATACTGAAACAATCACATTTGTTAATACAGACACATAAAATAAAAGTAAATAACTCATTATGGGAATAGAAACGTAGGATTTAGCGTGATTTTTAAATTATTATGTTCTTGACTCAGAAGCATTTTCCCATCACTTCCCGTTTATGACCTATATTGCAAAAGGAATGAAGTTGCCAGGAGCGGGACTTCTGAACAGAAACAATATTACTGAGTTCTGAAAAATATGTTGTAAATGTGGAACTGAAAATATATATTTCTATGCATAGAAATATGGAACTGAATAGCACAGACCTCTTTCATAACATGATTTTAATCCTATTAACTTTCTGAAGTAGTTGTCCAAAGACAAGTTATGTCATGTGGATTTCTTTTTATTTGGCTTTCAAAGGATTTTGATAACTCCATTGCTTTAGGGGTGAAGCTACACCACGAATGCATCAGACTTAACAAAACTACACTAGGCCGGTCACATAGTCACAGTTGTTTGGAAATGGATTTTTAGTTCTCAGCTGCTCCGTGGCTTGACTGCCCAAATGAAAAAATAAACTGAAATCTCAGGCTGGGTTTGTTGTTGAAGTTTACTTAGCTGTGTGGGTGATGTGAATGACACATGGACAAGAAGATTAATTAGCGATTATTTTGCCGAGAGAGAAGCGTAATGTTGCGGAGCCATCTGCTGCGCCCTTGCTGGGGGCGATCCCGATGGATTCCTCATTAAACTTGCAACACTCTGTTCCGAGACCACCGGTGGTCCCCCAGCTTCTTATTAGATTAAAACTGTGCTGAGATTTGGGAGCAGCAGGACCAGGGGAAGTGTAGCTGCATGTTTGTCACTGTCAACAAATAATCCAACCTTGAGAGCACGGCCTCATGCCTGCTGCAGGATCCTTAGTGGCATTTATGCCATTTCTATCACTAGTATTGTCCCCATAGTCAATCACCTACTATAGCCTCACCTCACAAGCTTATAGGAGTATTTTGAAAAAAAGATTTTAAACATTCGCATAATCTTGGAAGAGCTAAGCAAGCTCCTCCTCGTCACAATGGAAAATTTAGTGTTTTTCGTGCAGTATATGTTTTTATATTCTTTCTGTGTCATTTACTCATAAGCTTACATATTCACCCATTCTGCAAATACTGGTTCATTGCTCCTTTTGTTATTGCTGTCCTAAGCTTACAGTCTTAGATGAAGCAGAATGTTTACCCCAACTCCCTGATTTTTCATCTGAGAATTTATCTGTCTCTCGAAGCCCCGTGACAGATAAATTTGACTTCTGTAATCTGTGTCTCCAGGTAACTTTATCTCAAAGTCATTTTATAATGTTTATTAGAAGTTCAGTCCTTTTACATATTAAGTTTAATAGTTTGCTTTGAACTCTATATCTAAAGTATACGTGAGCCATGTAGAAACTAAATTTTGACCTTATTGTTACCCCGCAAATATATATCTACTGAAGTCTAGCCATTTACAAAATTTATCAAAACCATTTTTTCCTATTAATAAAACTGTGGAGCATGAATGCCTCTTGGCAGGGCAGTGAAATGAGAATTCATATCATCACATCAAACAAAAATAGAGTATTGTCTATTCAAGTAAAAAACACAGATGGAAGTTACTAGATGGTTCACTATTACTCTTTTCAACACACGCTTGGTCTAGTGATGGCAGCGAGGCCTGAACCAAACCTGCAGACATGCGCCGGGCCCCCTAGAAAGGCGTGATGTGTCCTAGAGTTAGTATCTCACAGTTGCCCAGGGTAAGAGCTTGCTCATGTTCATGTGCTTCTGATGTATTTTCCGTCCATTTCTCTAGTTTTCATCAGCACTTTGCCGTTCAACCCTTTTCTGGTGTCTTTTTGTTTCCAGTCACCTCTTTCCTACAGAGTTCAGAAGCTCTTTACTATTTATCCTTATGGGCATGTTTTTCTTCTTTGTGTCTGTACTCTGCAGACTTCCTCACATGCCGTAACTCAATTTCTCTTTCTGGAAAATACTGGTGATAACATTTTCCTAGGCCACAGACTCCTGGGTATAAAATGAATAACGGCAGCTGCCACGAGATGGGTGGGCAACCTGATTTTGAAATCCTCAGATGGATATAATACATTTTCCTGCCCAGTGCTACCTGACAAGAAAGAGGTTCCAGGGACTCAGACCAAGACCAAGGGCTACAAGCACCTGCTCACTGAGGTGGGCCAGCAATCCTCAAAGATCCTCTTACCATTTTAATTTTGTAGATAATCTATAAAATAGGAGATGCAAATGGCTGATGCTAATTTGGACCGCCAGCTTCCCTCACTCAGCTTAATTGAAGGCAAATTTATGGAAGTGGATTTCCTGGAAGTACTTTGAAGAAAAGTAAAAATCGTTCAGTATGCAAATAATCAGGCACAGTAGTTATTGAGTATCCACTATGCAGAAGGCACCATTCCAGCTTCTATACGTAAATTCTTATTTGAGTCTCATACGGACTCTGCAAGGTGGCTGTGATAACCTCTATTAATAGATGGGAGAGGCACAGAAAATTTAAGTAACTAAAGCTAGTGGGTATCACAAAGGTGTTTTTTTTCTTCTACAACATCACACTAACTCTAGAGTTTTTGTAAGAATCACAAAATATCTGAGTATATAGTTGTAGGCAACACAGGCTGTGAGAAGCCTTTGACTTTGAATTAAAAGGATGTGGAAATCATGAATATATATATTTGATGAAAAGTGCTCCTTTGTAGAAAAAGATCATTCTGCACAGGCAAGGACTTGATGGAGAGTGTGGAGAAGGTGACTGAGACACTCAGTCACAGTCTTCCAGGGACGTGACCGAGAGGGTGACGGACAAGTGTCCTTTATTATTGACAAGAACAGCACAGTGAAAGGCTGGAGGGAGAAGTTAGCAATGAAATGTTTGCAAGATGTTAGATAACAATTAAAAGGGGCATCATAGTAACACATAACAAATAAAATTTAACAATTACTTTATTATTAGCCAGTATAGGTCTGGAGGGGAAGATTCTTATGCTTAGCTTAGCGGCTTGGGGACTCAGTACTGGCCGTGTGTCTCAGCTCCCATCATCGATGGCTGGAGGTATAGATAGTTCTGGAACTACTGAGAGAATCCTAGAGTGAAGAGCCATTCTAGCTACTTGTCTAAGAAATAGAAATAAATCTATAAATAAACTGTATAAAGATACACAAACATAAAGAAATCTAACTTTTTGGTATTTTCTATATACATATACGCTCATGTTAGAATAAAAATCCGTTCTGCACAGTTTAGACTTCAAATTAGCAAATTTATGTCATCCCAGCACAAATGCAGTGATAACTCTATTAATCAAATTTTATTAGTCCTTTGTTGGAAGAAGTTGTTGGCTGCTGTAGGCGGAGTATGACAATTACTGTATTATGTTCTATTTCCCAGCCTGTTGGGAAAATATAATGTTTTCATTGTCGAATAAGCCTCTTCCTTGCCCATACCTAGAATACTGTATATAGAATAGTAAGAGCTAGAGCAGTTTGGGCAATGATAGGACTGTAGGCTCACTTAGTACGGCATAAATGCTTCTAGATGCCTTAACATTACCCATTAGCATCACATCATAATGATCCATTGGAAAAATTGCTTATAGTATTTGCTATTGGTGATATAAGCAGGGGGTGATGCAAGTGGGAACACTTTTTAAAAGTTTAAAGTGCTATATAAATGCCAAATGGATTTGTTTGTGGATGTGTGGATGACCATGAACATAGAGCCAATTATGTCCCATCTATAAAATGAAGGCGTCAGATTCTGTGATTTCAGAAGAATCTTTTGGTTTCGATGTTCCATCAGGTTGTGTTTTTGTGGGCTGGTCGTCACGGGGTTGCATTAATCACTTCACAGTCACTACCAGCAACCAGACCCGTCTTAGTCCCTGATGAAAAAGATGGAAAAGTACAAAACAATGTTTTTTGGCTGCGAGAACGTGCTCGAAAGAAAACACAACAAAGCCCTGCAGTTCTATAAATCGACCACTTAGAAAGGTTTTCATGTATTTTTCTTTGTTTCCCTGGATCAGTGGAGGCACTCCATCTGGGGACATTGATGGCAGCCCACGGCTACTTCTTTCCAATCTCAGATCACGTCCTCACGCTCAAGGACGATGGCACCTTTTACCGCTTCCAAGTAAGTTCAATGAAAATATTCTTTAACAGTAAAATACATCTGTATTTTGTTTGTTAATTGTTTTTACAGAAAACTTGAAAATGATCACTTATTTAACTTAGGCTGGTTAGAAACTGTTAAATTTAAGACATAAGAACCATGAACAAAGAAGCATGGCCTGCACTTAGTTTAGATGATTTGTGAAAGCTAGATTCTACAATGACTAAAGTTAGATTTTATATAAAAGGCTTGAGAGAAATTCAGAGTCACTTCATGGAATTCAGGAAGATAGGAGAGTTCTTTATCTGTAAGTTACATTTTAGCTACTAAATTTCCAATGCTCTGGACCCCACCTGTAATCCAGAATCATCTTCAGTCCAAGCAAACTTTCATAGAATTCCTGAGGCTCGTAACTGAGGCCCTTCTAAAAGTCTCTGAAGACTGATATGCATGGTGCTTTATGTGTCTGAACTCATCTGAGATAAGAGGACACCACAGATAATTTGTGAATTGACAAGAGTCATTCGAGGTCATTTTTCTAATGAGATGGGGTACTGTTGTGTCAGGAAATGATTGTAGACTCCAATTTCAGTCATTGAGCACGCAATTGACAGTACTTGAGTTCACAATGATTTATCTCAAGTGCGTACTACATTTTACTAGACTTTATGATTCATTAATGACTGACTAGTAGATTCTAGCCTATAAAATTAGGACGCACCAAACACCAGAGTTCAAAGTCTAGGTTAATTCCTGTAGATGTTTTTAGAGGATGCTCCCCATGGTCCCACTTTCAGACATTGGAGCATTCTTCTCATTTGTTCTGAATATTTTTAGATGTTCTGTATCTACATGAATGACTGGATAATAATTTGCGTGCCTAACAACTGGCTGGGGAAAGCTTAAAACAAAGAGGGAATGTGTTTTTTAGAATCTCAGAGATTACCGTCCGCTTTAGAATACTCTCTTACCACTTCCTTTTGACTCTTTTATCCAAGACAAATAATCATAGGACTTTTTGCATGGAGTCGTCAGGAGACAAAGCAATATCATAAAACTGTGCTACTGACCAAAGCATTCAAGCAATTTAAATTACTTATATTATTTTATTTTAAAAGGCTTTAAAATAATGGGACTTTATGCTTTCAAGTTAAACTCAAAGTAATAGTAGCTTAAAACAGCTCATTAACTTAGAGTAACTTGGGTTCTGAAGGTTAGCATTTTAATAAATAAAAATTCTTGGTGATTAGCAAATTATTCCTGTGCTGCTAAGACTTTTTGACTTTTAAAGGAGTTATTTTTCTATTGCAGGATGACATTTTCCATATATTATTTTCTTATACAATTTTTATATAGAGACTCTAAGTAAAAGCTTCTAGTAAACTTCTTAAGAAAATTCTCACAATTCTGAACGAAAGGGTTTTTTTTAAATAAAAATATAAACATCCATATTCACAATATTAAAAGTAAAATAATGCAGGTATAAAAGAACATTGTCTGTAAGGAAAGCATTGAATATAGTCTATCCCTGAGAATTATCTAATTCAAATTTTTTTTCTTAAACAAACTAGTTCAGACATGGCTCAGAGTTAGAGATGATGACTTCAATTAGCTTAATTTGCAAACTTTAGCATAATTTACTAATTTTTCACACTGAAATGAGTAAGCAAACAAGGTTTAAATGTCTTAATCATAGAATCTTAAAACCAAGATTTAAAAAGCAAAACTGACAGAAAAGTCAGGAAAAGCTGACTTCCTGCTATAATATCGACCAAGACATCAATCAGTCTCTAGTTCAACAGCTCTAATAATAGAACACACATAATTGTTCACAGTGCACCCTTCCATTTGGGGAGTTGGTTCCAAGAAGCAGAACGTTCTTTCTGACATTGAACTGAAATTCAACTCCTTGGAAGGATTTTAAAAATCATGAATTAAAATGGAAAACTTGTCCTATCATGTTTACAGTTCTTCCAGTGCATAATTGAGATTCTAACCCTCAGGTTAGAAAAAGCTTCAGGGCATGAGTTTGAGACAAACAGAGCTCTTCATTTAATTTCATTGGCATGCAACAATATGTAAATTTGTCACCATTTTTAGTACATTGTTAATCATGTGATTTTGTATTAATGTAAACTTGCAATTGTCTCAGCTGATTGGAATTGAGACCTGACATCATTTTCCAGGTCCCTTTGATGACTTTCATTACATTAAAAATGTGCCAGTGATTATTAAGAAATGGCTGGGCAGTTTGGGATCAGTTTTATCATAGCTAAAGAAGCCAACACACACATTAAAATGTCCTAAACTCTATGCAGACTGTGAAAGTACATTTTTAAATTCCAGCAAACTACAAGGGTTTGCTATTTATTAAGTTACCTTTTACTATAAATCAAACTATTTTTCCTCAGAAAAATCTTACAGTATTTGCGAAGAATGTTGGATTTATGACATTTCCACATAATATTACAGAATACAATAGCTTCAGTCTTTTATTTTTACGTTCAGGAAATTCTCACTAAATGATAAAAGAATAAAGAAGAATTATAAGAATGCAGCAAAAATACCTGGTGGTTTGAAGGAAATGAAAGTATATACATGACCAATCTAACTAGAATAGGTATTTTAAAAGTTAGATAAATAGATTTGTGTGCGCACGCACACACACACACCCACACACACAGGCACCTCCCAAAATAAAGCAGCAACCCAAAGGGAATGATGAACTCCATGAGAAGTATCTCAAAATCCAGCAGCCCACATGAAAGCAAGACTTTCATTACTTTGTTCCCCAGTGGTTTTCCCTGGAATCTTCACCCAATCTTATTTCTAAGAAGTCAAATCTTCAAAGATTCATCTCCCACAGAGTCAAATGGGATTCAGGTGAGAAGGGGGCCCGTGTAAGGCCTTGATGTCCTCCTTGTCTGATGGTTCCACCTTTTTCTCCCTAAATTTCTGCTGCCGTCTTGTTCACGTGTGTACAAAACTACTCTCAGTAGCTTTCCCTCTGGTTCCACAGCAATGGCCAAGAACAGCCCAGAGGAATCAGAAACCCCTGGGAGTCTGAACAGCTTGGAATGCTCTCCCCAGAAACAAACAGCTCTCCCCCAATTATTCCCCTTCTTGAGAATCCCTCTTCTAGAAGGTAGAATTGTCAAATAGGTAATCAGAGATTACATGTGCCAGTTATACATGGGTAGTTAATATAATTGACTAATAAATACAGTGAAGTCCACAAGGCTGAAGTCTGCAGTCACTGTTCCATTGGGTGTCACCATCATCCGAGAAAACAGAGTCTGATGGAGTGGTCATTGAATTGTCTCATGGTCCGGAGCCAAGCCTGTCCAGCTAGCAGAGATGGAAAAGCCCTTTTAGAACATATAAAATGTTGATGATGACAGTAAGGTTTTCCTGATCAGACGTTTTCTTTGCAGCTTTGTCCACCAGTTTCTAGAATTTCACAGATTCGGACTTCAGTCTGTTGGTAATCACATCAATCAACTAAGACATTATAAGTTTAAAAAATGATCTCTGGTTGGCGCAGTTTAGAAATTTAGAGCAATAAGTGTCTTTATTAAGAAATGGTTTTTAAAGTGAGGGGGAAAGGTTCTTTTCATCTGGTTGGATAAAGTTAAAAGCTGCAGTATATCATTAATGGAGCCAGGCAAATGATTGCCAGACCTCAGGGAAAGAGTTTGACCCAAGGTCGAGTTTTCGGATCTGTTGACGACAGTGTTGGGATACATTAATCATAGAAAACAATGTGTTATATTTAAACAGGTTTTATCCTGAGTCTTTAGAATATCATACTCTACTTTCACTCTTTGTGGATTCAAACTTTTTGTTTGATTAATGCAATCAGACCTTTTACCTTTATGGCAGTTGACATAAAGTTGCAGCAGATGTAGGACATTTTATTTATTTAGAAATTTTTAATGTTGACATTATTGCAGATGTCCCCCTTCCCTCCCCCTTTTCCCACCTTCACCCACCTGCGCCTTCCCCTCCCTTGGTCTTCACCACACCATTGTCCATGCCCAGGGGGTATGCATATATGTTCTTTAGCTAATCCCTTCACCTCCTTTATCCAGTCACCCCCACACCCCTCCACTCGGGCATCAGCCAATCTGTTCCATGTATCCATGCTTCTGGTTCCATTTGGTTCATCAGTTTATCTTGTTTAGTAAATTCACCTATGAGTGAGATCATATGGTACTTGCCTTTCTCTGACTGGCTTATTTCACTTAGCATAATACTCTCCATATAAGACATTTTCAATACCTGTTGGTGCTGCACATATTTGAGGGCCGAACCATTGCTCAGCAAAGGAAACGTAGAAGAAAAACTTTACATTGCCTCTCTGGGTACCTTTTCTGGATTACAAACATATCCTTAGTGAACTATTCTAGATAGTTGCTAAATATAAATAGCTCATCAACCAAAAACTCTTTTAATTGTTTATGTGTCTAACCTGGGTTCTACTTCTTTTCACAGACACCCTACTTTTGGCCATCAAATTGCTGGGAGCCAGAAAACACAGACTATGGTCAGTGCAATATCTCATTGTATTTGGGGCAGCCAGTATGGCTGGATGAACATGTGCTTGCATTTTATTGTTTTGTCATTGAGAAAAGAAAACTTAGCACCTTGGTTGACTAGAAGAGTTACAAAGGGGCTCGGAGGGCCAGAGTTCTAGCCCGCCTCCCCCACTAGGCTGTGTGAATGGTGGTAAGTCCATTGACTTTCTGAGGCTTTGTTTTTCTCACTATTAAATGAGGAGTCCTATGATTCCGTAAGTGGAAGGTTGTAATGAACGTGGAGAAACCAATTACAAGCAAAGAAAAAGTTAAAATAGAAAATTTAATTGTAATGCATCAAGTTCGGTGAACTTAGCATGAACTCGATGCAACAATCATGATTTCAGTTAAGCTTTTCAAGGAAACGGCTCTAATAAGTGTTCGTCATCTTCTTACGTCTTCCTCAAGGCTACAGTGTTCAAAGGAGATTGCATGGTTTTCAAATCTCACTGGGACACACATTTATTGAGGATTACTTTCCTATTCCAAGGGCTGTAGTAGGTGCTGGGACACCGAAGGTCACCCCGACTTCATCTACGGGGTTGGCCTCTTGTCGGCTAAATGAGAGAAGAGAATTGTCTAGGAGTTACTATATAATGAATAGAACGGTGGTATGTGGAAAATTATATGGAAGTTTCAAAAAATAAGAGATGGATTTTGGTTGGAGGATTCTAGACTGATTTCTGAAAAGAACTGAGAGCTTTTGAAGTTGTATTTCAAAGGAGGAGGGAAGATTTTTTAAGAGGCAAGACGAAAAAGGCATTTGAGGCAGAGGGCCAGCATCTGCAACGGCGGTGGGAGACTTCACAGCAGCCTGGCTTTCTTTGTATTGCTCCTGGGGAGACATCTTTGTAAGAAAACTGTAGGAAAATCCATAGAAAACCAATGGAATTTTTTTCCTGTTTTTCATTTCAGAACCTTGAATTTATAGTTCATCAAAGAGTAGTCAGTGCCAGTCAAAGATTCAAACTAACATACCTCGTGGGAAACAGCCTAAAAACCAGAATACAGATGAATTAATAGAGAAAATAGGTGATTTCTTTCCAGTAGGGCTAATGCTCACTTCTTCATCCAGAAACACACATTCCTCAAAGCTGAGGCACTTGGAGAAAGAAGTGATTTAAAAAAACAACAACTGCTGATTTGCGGATCTGAGCTGGAGAACTTTCTAGACCATTTTGTCCAATTTGTCATGGTGCCTCGGGGTTGTCTTACTAAAGAATGTAAAATTTTAGTGGAGGGAACACTTGGACAGCTGCGAAGGAGCTCATGGAAAAAGCCCCAGATGTTAGGGACAATCAGACCTGACCTGAAATATTGTCACAGTCACATACCAGCTGTGTCACTTGAAGCAAGGCATCCAACATCTATGAGCCTTGGTCTGCTCACTTTTTAAGTAGAAATAGTAATATTGACTTTCTAAAGTTGTTGAAATAATCCAAATTAATACACTTAAGGAAACTGCTGTTGCTCCTCTTCCACTCAATAAATCAGAATAGTTTTATGCTGACTATCATCTTTACCTGACAGATGTACTGCCTGTGTTCCTTGTGGAAAAGCAAATTTTTATTCTCGACACTTCTCTCCATCCCTCTTTTGTGTTTTTCATAAATAGGTTAGTGTTCACAGTCATAGTTCATGTTTCATCACTTCGCAGAAGATTTATGATTGAATGGAGAGCCTGAGGAAGTGGCATAGCCCACACAGCAGGTCATTTACAGAACACCCCTCGCGGGGGTCATGGCAGAATTATTAACGTCATTCCGTTTTCCTTGGACTCTTACCAGGGTCTGTTTCAAAGGGGGACATCTCCTAAACTTTCTCCCCAGACCTAAGTACCTGCAATTCATTACCTAACTATAGACATAGTCTTTAATTATTATATCCTGTGTTTCTCCTTGACAAAACATATACCTGTTTGTGTCTAGCTTGCTTAGATTATAGACAAACAAAGAATAAAAATAATTATTCAATAAGAGGTTCTGAAAAAAGGGGAAGAAGGTGGGCAGTGACTTCAGACATGGTACCACTTCTCCAGGCAGTCAGCTTCATCTGTGCTTTTCCTTCTTAGGTACAAATAATCATAACAGCGACCTGAATGATCCAAACTTGAATTTCCTACCACCTTTTGGTTAGAGCACCCCCTCACCCCCGTTTATGAAGAAGATATTGATGGCAGGGTGTAGTTATGCTGGGAGACCCAGAACACAGTGATTCCTTCAGCTGTTTTTCTTAAGACAACTTTAGGGCTGAGTTTATTGCCTAAAGCAAGTTTTTTAAAAATGGTTTATTTTACTCTCTGAGCATCCCGACCTCTGTTTCCATCACCGGTTAGAACTTACTAGGTAGATCCTGCAGAACATAAACCTCCGCGGGTCAGTTAATAGTGTATTTCCATCTGTTGTCTGCAGTGCCCCGGAGGTGGTAGCCTGCCAGGAACTGCCTCTGATTGTCGCAGTCCAGTGGGACCCAGGAACTCCAGGCCCCCTGGCCACCAGAGGCAGGCAGTCAAAGGGCATCCCCTGGGCTGTCCCTGCAGAAACTAGGGCACCAGATGTAAAAACCGGGGCAGAGACACATGTAAGAGCTTCCCGCGGGGAGACACTGCTGCTCTGTGCGGCAGGAGAGCCCTAAGCCAGCACCCGCCTGCTGAGCTCTGTGGCGAGGATTACGGCCCGTCCTTAGCGGTGGGTTTAATTGGAAGCTTGCCCCTCAGCCGCATCCATGATGACTATGATGATTAGGTAACAGGCCTCTTTCACGGAGAGAATCCACTGCTGGGTCTGTCGCCTCTTCCTGTGCCCTGGGGGTGATGGCTGTTTAATCACCTTGTTTCTATTGGTTACAGTCCTGTGGGATCTGTGAGCATAAGCCACAGTGGCCACCAGGGCCCGGTCTTGCAGAAGTGTTCCCTGGCAGCAGCTGCAGTAATCGGGGTGCCAGACAAGAGTACAGGCTTTTCTCTGGGGGACACCAGAGTGCTGGAGCCAGGCAGAGGAACAGCACAAAAATGTACCCACCGGCCTCTGTCCCCGAGAGCAGTTTCTTAGGCCACTAGATTGGTGTCGAACCAGAAGCTTGCCTCTCAGGCCAAAGCTCCTGGACCAGCAAAACCTGCACAGAAAGACTGGGGCTATGGTTCAGGGCTGCATGCAATGCCCTGGAGGTGACAGCCTGCCAAGAACTGTCTTTCTCCAGTGATTACAGAGCCCTGGGGCCCAGGAATGCAATCCGCCCTGTCCTCCAGAGCCAGGCAATCTGGGGGCCTTCCCTTGGCAGTAGATGCAAAATCAGGGCACCCGACGTGCATAAAAGCGCCCATCCAGGAGATGCTGGTGCTCTGGAACATGGCAGAGGGGAGCATAAACATGGCACCCCCTGGAAAAAAAGAAAAAAAGAGGTAGTTCCCACTGGCTAGAGAGTGGGGAGGGGTGCCTGCCAGCTGGAGAGAGCCAGAGGGGCAGCGTAGAGGTGGGGCCCGTAAGAAAATGGCAAAAGGAGAGCTTGAAGGTGGCAGCCACCAGTCTGTCCACAGAGAGCATCCCAGCAGGCTCTTCAGAGGTGCGCGTGTTCATGTGATATTTGTTACCCTGGCACGCTATTTAAATGAAGAAATCAGCCAAAAGCTTTATGGCTTTTGAAGACCATGTAATTTTTCTGGGTACAATTATAAGTAAATATTTTAAGGGTCTTGGGAGTAGGAAAAAAAGTTGGAATTGAATTTATAGCTTAGCATCGAAATCATGTGCACATTAATTTGTGACCTTGACAAAATTAAAATTTTTTTCTTATGGATGAGCCCTTTAAAATCCAATAAAAAGGCATTAATCCACCCTCCCCCCCCCAAAAAAAGATGAGTGTTGAATTAGATGCTTGCCCCTTTGGTCCATGTTTTAATGTATGTAAATGAGCCTCTTTCACCTGAAGCTGGAGTGAGACCTCTGAGCTAGGCCCAGGGCAGGTGAGTCCAAGTGTACAGGCTCTTCAGGCTGAGCCCATAGCAGTGGGCTGCAGGCCATGCTTTGAGAATCCTGGATTTAGGGCTTTGACAGTGTTCAAACAGAATTTCCCATTGGTTTAGGCTGAATAACTCCAAGAAGGGCATTTATCTCATTTTAAGTTTTACTAAAGAAACATCATGGTGGCAATGGTAAAAACAAAAAATGTTCTGACTCCTTATGGAGACATTTGGAAGATGAAAGGGAAAATTAAAATATAAAAAAGAGCATTGGGGAGCTCATTTATAATTTCAATAACCACTAATTGGCATACATTTTGTGAATTAGCAGTACTGCTTCATGAAGACTCAATTTGCTCAAGTCTAGCAATTAAAGCTGACAAGAGAGTGTTGGTTAATATATGTATTAACAGGAGAGGTATTAGTTTGTCATTGTTTTAACACTGAGTGATGGGGGAAACAGACTATCACTCATTTATATGAGATGCAGTGTTTATTAGTCTTAGTCGGAAATTTTCTCAACCTCAGAACTTGGAGACAGGGTCTTCACACCTGGATGGTAGTAAATATTCCACATTGTGAGATTTTCCTGGTAAGTGACAGAGCTTTTGCACCATGGAGCTGAAACAAAACTGCTTCTGAGCCCAAGTGATTTGTTCCAAAATTTCCTTTAATTAAAACCTGAAGATTTTCATATCTGATTCATACTTTCCTTGAGCAAAGAAGGGGTGCAGGGACTTTAGTGATGTGCTTCTACACTCTAAAGATTTATGCTGCTTTAAATCACACTAGACAAAGGCCCTTACGAGAACCCTGGAGAAAGTCAACCGAGAGAGTAAACTTGAGGACCCCTTCCAGGTTTCGAATTTCCTGTAAGCATAGCAATTGCATGTGCTAAAAGTCTCCCTTGGCCCAGAATGTCACTCTTAGTGTTGAGCCATGACTTCCTGCAATTATGGAATTTCAGAGCTGGAAGGAACCTGAGAGATCATCTAATTCAAGTGTCAGCTA